CACAACAATGTTCCGATTTCAAACAAAGTTTCAAAGCAAACCAAGATGTGAACTTAAACAGTTATTAGTCATTTTACACACAACCGTCAACCTTTTCTACATATTGAGACATTATAATTTGTGGAAATGAAATGGAGGCGACATACTAATCAGATTTGAAAACTACAGTCTCATTTAACCAACGTAGATAATAAGCCAATTTTCATTTCTTCATTACAGAAACACAAGGAAAATATACAAATTTACAGAAAACGTGAATAAATCTACGCTAAATGTGTCGTTTACTGGCCTTGAACGTTTGCGCTCAATACTTTCTTCACCTAACTTTTAATACAGAAGATATGTTGAATACACTTTCTAACCTTTGTTGGTTGAAATATTCCAATTTTTTAGGATAATTAAACATGGAAAACTATGTATTTACCTATTACTGTAAGAGTTACAATTTCATAAATGTACTTGAACAAAACGCGTTGTGAAATTGAAGGGGTTAGCGCAATAGTGGTCAAAGCCACATTTCAAGAAAACGGACAAACAAGTTAAAATTACATAGTTGTGGTTAGAAAAAGTTAAGAGCAAAACTGACCTCTGAACTCTATAGATGAAAACTTTTCACACCAACAATGTACAAAGATGGTTCATCTCCTTAGATAACAAATGGTGTCGATAACTCATTTTTTTTATTTCTTGGGTGTAAGACCACTATTGCGCTCAGCCTTTCAGTTGTAATTCACCCGTGAATGGTTACGTATATATTCTTTCGAATTTGATTTTTGTGTATAATTGGAATGCTTTCCACCTATAACCGAAATAACGTGCTGACTGAGAGGTTAAACAACAGTACCTGTTCATTCGTCGGCAGGGCCGCGGGCGCTGCGTCGGCTGGACCTGTCGCGCAACCGGCTGTCGGCGCTGCCGCAGGGCCTGTTCGCGCCGCTGGAGGCGCTGCAGGAGCTCAACCTGGCGGGCAACCAGCTGACGGCGCTGCCGGCGACGAGCGCGTTCGCGCGCGCGGCCGCCGCGCTGGCGCTGGTGTCGCTGGAGCACAACGCGGTCGCGGCGCCCGACGAGGCGGCGCTGCGCTCGTGGCTGCAGCCGGCGCCCGGCCGCTTCCTCAGCCTCGAGGGCAACCCGCTGCGCCCGCACGCGCTGCGCTGGCTGCTCGCCGAACCGCAGGTACACCTCCATTGGTTTAGTCGCGCACTTGACTAGGATTTATTTAACCGTGCACTTGACGTAAATCTACTGCTGCGGTTTCATCCAATCGGCGGCTTATATGTCGCTACAGTGACGTCACTATAGGGGACGTTCAAACTCCCGATTGGATGAAACCGTCAACAGCATATTTACGTCAAGTGCACTGTTAAATAAATCCTAGTATAGCACGCAACAGACACGCACGACTACGATTTATTTAACTGTGCGCTTGACGTAAATCTGCTGTTGCGGTTTCATCCAATTGGCGGCATATATGACGCTACAGTGACGTCACTACGGGAAAGTTGAAGCTCCTGATTGGATGAAACCGTCAACAGAATATTTACGTCAAGTGCACGGTTAAATAAATCCTAGTATAGCACGCAACACCACTGTTGTGAAAAGACATGGGTTAGCAGGCCCAGTGCACCCATTTGCGCTCGTTCTGCGCAGTGCAAAATACGTAACGAACCACGTGATCACAACCCGATCACTTCGTTTAAAAATTCCAAGGACGTTAGAATATACGGAGGTGGCATGGCCAACATTTCTCATTGCGGAAAATGAAG